GCTAAGCATGATCTGGGTGATATAAATGCTATTATTTAACTGGGTGGAAACGTGGAGCGCTTTGACAGAGGACTTCTGAGCTCTCCGCTAATGACCTAGCGCTGCTGTCAGAATCAATCCGGCCCGCTGCCCACGCAAATGACAATGCACTGCGGAAGTGGACATAACGGTCATTTCTGTGGCCCGGAGCGCTGGCACTGCCTGTGCTGACACCACTGGGACCGTAACACCCTCGGGCCAACAGAGAGGCTATTGGAGGAAGAGCAGGGTGCACAGAAAAAAGTTTTAAAGGTACAGTAACAATTTATTTACTGTTGCAAGAAATCTTGCAAAGTAAATATTCTCTGTTTTCATATTTACCTCTCTGTATTGGACCAGAAACGGGCCTTTTATAAAAATATACAAATGATGTGAGTTGTGGCAGAAAAAGACACTATTGATATTACCGTGCCATGCCTTTAAATAGTAGTGAGAGAGTAGAGCGCCACAACAGCTGCCTTCACACAGACCTGCATATTAAAGCAGCTAATTGATTATCTGAGTTGACAAAACTGGGTGCTCAATGTGTTCAAGCTTATTTGTGCACAAACAAAGAGGCACAGAGGGTTTTCTGTGCTGAAATCTGGTCACTGGGTCAGCTGGTTCACATAACAGCAAACCACGAAAAGAAACAAGAAAAAAATGTTTTACTTTCAAAGTGTTTCAACTATACATATTTGTAAAGCTAACATACATTTTAAGAACTATTACATTTTTTGCAAATGGCATTTGCAACACATTTTAATTCTATAACGTGATGAATTTCTGAATGAAATTTAGTGAAAAATTAAGATTTTAGGACTCGATTTTATACAGCATGTCAGAATTTGACTGGAATTTGAAAATCAATATTAGTCAATCAATCAAAATCAATGATCAGAATCATTGGTTACAGTTTTTTTAAAGGTACAGTCACAGTTATTGTGTGAAATGCAAAAATCCAGTAATTTAAATAGAATCAACACAATCTGGAGTTTCCGATGAAAGTTGAGAGTTTACCAATAGAAAGCTGCATAGTTTAAAAGTGACTTCTGTGTGAGCAGTGCTTTTGACAATTGACAATGGACCATTTTTTATGGAAGCCCGCTTCCGCCACTGAATAAAAAAGAAAAAAGGTTATTGCGACTTTTTATCTCACAATTCAGACTTTTTTTCACCGAATTGTGAGATATAAACTTGCAATTGTGTTATAAAGTCAGAATTGCGAGATATAAGCTCACAATTCGGACTTTATAACACGCAATTGCGAGTTAATGTCCAATTTTGAGGGGGGGGGGGAGGGGGAGACTGATATGTTCTCAGAATTGCGAGTTTATATCTCACAAATCTGACTTTATAACTTGCAATTGCGTGTTATAAAGTCAGAATTGTGAGAAAGAAGTCCGAATTGTGAGTTTATATCTCACAGTTCTGAATTTATTTCTCAGAATTGCGACTTTATATCACGCGGTTGCAAGTTTATATCACGCAATTCTGACTTTATTTCTCAGAATTGCGAGTTTATATCTCACAATTATGACTTTTTAACTCGCAATTGTGAATTTATCACGCAATTCTGAGAAGACAAGTCAGAATGAGAGAGTAGAGCGCCACAACAGCTGCCTTCACACAGACCTGCATATTAAAGCAGCTAATTGATTATCTGAGTTGACAAAACTGGGTGCTCAATGTGTTCAAGCTTATTTGTGCACAAACAAAGAGGCACAGAGGGTTTTCTGTGCTGAAATCTGGTCACTGGGTCAGCTGGTTCACATAACAGCAAACCACGAAAAGAAACAAGAAAAAAAATTTTTACTTTCAAAGTGTTTCAACTATACATATTTGTAAAGCTAACATACATTTTAAGAACTATTACATTTTTTGCAAATGGCATTTGCAACACATTTTAATTCTATAACGTGATGAATTTCTGAATGAAATTTAGTGAAAAATTAAGATTTTAGGACTCGATTTTATACAGCATGTCAGAATTTGACTGGAATTTGAAAATCAATATTAGTCAATCAATCAAAATCAATGATCAGAATCATTGGTTACAGTTTTTTTAAAGGTACAGTCACAGTTATTGTGTGAAATGCAAAAATCCAGTAATTTAAATAGAATCAACACAATCTGGAGTTTCCGATGAAAGTTGAGAGTTTACCAATAGAAAGCTGCATAGTTTAAAAGTGACTTCTGTGTGAGCAGTGCTTTTGACAATTGACAATGGACCATTTTTTATGGAAGCCCGCTTCCGCCACTGAATAAAAAAGAAAAAAGGTTATTGCGACTTTTTATCTCACAATTCAGACTTTTTTTCACCGAATTGTGAGATATAAACTTGCAATTGTGTTATAAAGTCAGAATTGCGAGATATAAGCTCACAATTCGGACTTTATAACACGCAATTGCGAGTTAATGTCCAATTTTGAGGGGGGGGGGTAGGGGGAGACTGATATGTTCTCAGAATTGCGAGTTTATATCTCACAAATCTGACTTTATAACTTGCAATTGCGTGTTATAAAGTCAGAATTGTGAGAAAGAAGTCCGAATTGTGAGTTTATATCTCACAGTTCTGAATTTATTTCTCAGAATTGCGACTTTATATCACGCGGTTGCAAGTTTATATCACGCAATTCTGACTTTATTTCTCAGAATTGCGAGTTTATATCTCACAATTATGACTTTTTAACTCGCAATTGTGAATTTATCACGCAATTCTGAGAAGACAAGTCAGAATTGCGAGTTTTTATCATGCTTTGGTGAATCTTTAACAATTAAATTAGAAACATGAATTTAAAAAGTCAATGGGGCTGATTTTGATTCCATGTTGCTTTTGTTTACTTTAAAGTGCACCACTTTGACATAACCTTAAAAACAGTATACCAGTATATAAAGTCTGCATGTCATCAATTATTCATCTTCTAAACTCTTAAAAATAAAGGTTCTTTATTGGCATTGATGGTTCCATGAAGAACCTTTAACATCCGTGGAATCTTTCAAATCCACAAAAGTTTCTTTATAGTTGAAAAGGGTTCTTTAGATTATTAAAAATGTTCTACACACTATGTTTTTATGGTTTTTTTTAAGAACGGTTCACAGAAAGGTTCTTTGGGGAACCAAAAATGGCATCACTGTGAAAACTTGCATCTTGCATCTTCTAGACGATTATCTTGTATCTTGTTTAAAAGAGGCCAAGTCACCATTACTAGTTCAGAAAGAACATAGTGAAGTGATATAAAACTGTAATGTTATCAACAAACCTGGAGCTATTTCATATTTCAAAATGAACCAATGAGAAACCAATATCAACCAACCAGAATGAAGAACTCAATGCTGTCGTAAAACAAAACTTTAATATCAGTCAAACAAAAAAAAAAACAAAGACATACGAAATGAGAATCAGGGTACCTATGTAAAAGCACTTATGTTTGTGTGTGTATTATGTGAGCATCTGTTTGCAGGTGAAGGCCGGTTAGCAGCTCTTCCCCCACATCCTCTTTATTAAACACTATCAAACACGGTTTACGCTGTCTAAAATTAGCCTCGGCGCTCAACAACTAATGACTGTCTTGCATCCATTATTAGTTCATTTTCTTCAGATCAGTCACCAGCCGAGCATGCTTTTTTTAAAATGTCATCCTAAAACTTTTTACAATCAATTAAGCTGAAGATTAATGGGGACAATTTTCCAGGAACAAGTCCTTCCTTGAAAAGGCCACGCCTCGACAGACTTCCAGCCTGGTATTGGTGTTAATTATAAATTTCCGCTTTGCTGTCACACACTTAACCTGTCGTAAGGGAATAGCGCCGGCAGTCCGGGGACCAGCGAACCGCTATTTAAATATTCCTAATCCGCTTTTGTGGACACAGGTGACTGATGTAAATTGCGCTTTTCGTTCTGTGTCATTAAAACGAATTTGAAAGGACATCAGTGCTGTAGCTAAGCATGGATAAAAAAAGTTTTTTTCTACCCTATGAGGTGAAATACGAAAATCACCCCCCTTGAGCTTTCCTGAAACACCGGTAGACTGAGGAAGTGTCATCCTTCATTTGCTCACATGCTAAACAGCTTAGAGACGCCACATCTATCCTGAGACAACAGACCTGTAATCTCTAAACACACACATTACTACATCTGTGACGGATTTCATTCATCCAGGTCATTGTAGAACGCCTGCTAGAACTTATTCATAAGCTACTGGATTTTGCTGTTCATCTTAAGTTACTTATGAATATTTACAAACAACAGATTACTAAATGTCTGACGTCAAAGACATCCAAGATGGGAAAACATAACTTTTCATGCTGCCTTCAAGTCCTCTTTGGAGTTCTGTACAACTAAAATCGTAATTACATTAAATTAACTTGTTTTGGTCAGAATATAACAAGCATATTGGGCATTTTCATATTTTTGGTTCTTTTTCACTTCTCTCTTGTAAAGTGCTAGTAAAACAAAATGAAATGCACATTAAATTGTCATTTTTATGCTGCCACAGAAAATCTGGCAACTAGAATTGGTAATTTCTTGTATTTACTAGTTATTCTTTATAAGCCGTCCGCAAATGGCATATAAAATAATTTGCACAGTCTACATTAACTCACTGATTCAACTGAAATGTAAATGTGACCAGTAATATGTTTATTCATCTTGATTTGAAGGCAGTGTAAAAAACTTTTAGCAAAAAAATACCACAACCTTTATGAAAACAAAGTGTTTCGGCAAACCCCTGTGACAAAAACAAAAAATTATGCAAGAAGAAAATCAGCTCATACAGATCTTTTTTTCTTGCTTTCTTAAATAAGAGAGGTAAATACAGATTCATGATTACATTTCAACTTGTGTGCATTACATAATTTCCGTATTAAATATGCATATTATGTTACATACCCAATGTTGATCTCAAGTTAGTCTCAAACCAAAAACATCAGGGTGTTTTGGATGAACAAAGACAGTTGAAAGAGTTCAAACCTTATCTTACCTGCAGGATGTGGCTGCCAAGGTGAGGCTCAAAGATCTCCGTGGCAACAGCGCTGGGGCTCCGCCTCCGCTGGGACCCGATAGCTGCGGAGAGAAGCACACAGCATGAGTACACTCGTGTCGGCACGCTTCCGCTTTAAATCCAAACCAACTTGGAAATGGAGTCCACCTGTGTGATTTTAAACAGATACGGTAAACTGTTGAACAAACACTTCCGCCCCAATAATATTAAGCCCCCGGTACTGTAAATACACAGATGCAAATCAAAGCCTCAGAACGGCTCCCTTCTGCATATTCAGCCGGGCTCGGCGCTACAAAGCCCGCTGTTTATAGCAGCAATAATATCGCCACATCCATTGAGCTGCAAAGCACCCGGAGAACAGTGCCCTCAGGGCATTTTTTCCAAGTTTCCAACTTTAAAGTCGATTCAGGCTCTGCTAAAAAATGGCCTGGGGTGATTTCAAACTTAACAGACCTTGTCCCACCAGAGCTCATTATAGAGAATTTTATAACAAAGTGCTCTGTACTTAATTTTCCAAGCCTAGCCAGGCGTTCGGGTAATGTTGCTGAATTAAGTGCAATTAATGATGTAATAAAGCACTGAACGGCCTTTAAGGATTCTCAAGGACCAGCAGCAAACAATGCTTTGCAATTCGGGGAGGGCGCAACGGGGAGAGGAGGACATCGTGCCCCAGGTGAGCAGCATGAGAGGGGCCGAGACACAAATGAGAGGCCTCTGTCCTTCAGAGAGCCTCAAGCTGGGTAAACACACTTTTCCCCTCCGGCAATGCTTTCAGCAGTAAGCCCTATGTCCGCCCCGGAGGAACGTTCGTGCCACAACATGAGCGGGAAGGGCAGCGGCAGCTGGAGGAGGGGGGGAGGGGGGGAGAGAGAGAGAAAGAGAGAGAGAGCCGGGCTCTCAGCTCTGTCCCTGGAGTGCCGGGGTCAGTAGCCGCCACTGCGGGTGGAAACATAAACAATCCTGAGCTGGTGGGACTCGGACACGGCGGCTCGCAGCGCACAGCAGAGGGAGCTCTTACACCCTGAGGATCGCACAGAAACCATGCACACATACCTGCACATCAAACACAGCGTGACACACTCATTCATGCACATGCAATCAGCGCACACATGTGCTTAATAACACACTGGAGCTTTTGGGACAAACGGAAGTCTGTTTGATGTCAGTTTGGTTTGAAAGATTTGGCAACACAAACAGGTCCAATATTGACACTTGGCAAAAAAACAAACGTGAATAAAACTGTAAATCAATGAATAAATAAAATGAACCTACAGTAGGTAAAATACATAGAAAAATTTGAATAGTAAGCAAACATTTACTATGAGTTTTTCCTCCCTCTAAAACCGTGGCAAACATGTGTAATATTATATACGTGTAATATAATAATAGATATGCGTAATATTCCTCACATTAAGCAATAAATAAAACAAAACAATGAAAAGGAAAAGAAAGAAAACAAGTCCCACACAACAGTAAAGACACAGTAAAATATACAAAATAAAAAAATATTAAAATATAATATAAAATTATATTACAAAAAAAAGTCCCACACAATACAATAAAGACACCGTAAAGAATAAAATAAAATCAATAACAAAACCTGAATTGAACCCAGTGTGAACAAAGCATATAATGTGCTCTAGCAGACATCTGAACCCAAAAAACAGCAGTCCAAGTAGAATATACCAAATGAAGAATATACCAAAGTTAAGAGGTCACTTGACCAGCTTCAAATTACCCTCCTCCTCCTCTCTGTACTTAAAGACGACAGCTCTCATCACACAAGGATCCTCTCTTAAGACCACCGCATGGAAATCAGCCACACGTCCTCCAAATTCCTTGACCTTGAGGAGCTTTTCAAACTATAAACTCTGCGCTTAATATTTCATAATGAAAAATGTGAACATGTTGAACCACAGATGAGTTTATCGAAACAAAGTACAAACCAAGTCAGCTGAATCTTAAAGCCTAATCTGTGGTGTTTTAAAAAATTCTGTCACATGACATGTCAAGGTTTCAACAGACTTCTCAACACAAACATGATCCAATGCAGACAGATCCATGATTTTAAGACATTTATAGACAGTATAAAGCAGCAAGTGCATTGAAAAAGGCAAATAAAGGCATCTTAAACGATTCTCATGTCCCCTGGTTTAACTACACTCAATACTGTCCAACGACTGTGTCGCCATCCCTCTGCACGGCCGCCCGAGCAGCCAGAGAGATTAATATAATTGCATATTGATCTCAGGAATTATGCTCTATTAATCTGCTTCATTTTGCTCATGACGCAAATGATATATGAATAAAGAGCTCGCGGGAGCACAGAGGCAACACAATGTCTGTCCTGCCATGATTCTCCATAATACATCTCCTCTAGTTTAGCTCTCTGCCATGGCAGATTGAGGACATACAAATATATTACGCCGGAAACACGAGCAAATACATCACGTCTGACCTAATAAGTCCCACACAATACAGTAACAGCGCTGTAAAATATACAGGGTTGGTGTATTGAGGACTGGTATATTGTCAAAGACATATAGGCTGATGCTATTTCATTCAGAGTATCGCCATCCCAAAAACGCAGTATCCTTGACGCCAATTCGTGAACATGCAAATGGACAGACCACGTCTGATATAGACTAATGGCATTTTATTATGAGACAATATTGTTTCCATTTGACACTTTCAATATGTAATGCTAGTCTTCAATACCCGCAACACCTCAAATAGCATTTGGTGCAAGACTGCAATAAATGCAATTTGTTACTCGCCGCAGTGGCAATTTCAAATCGCTTGTGCTATTAGAAAGTCAATTTAACTTTCACTTTTATAAGTCAACATTATTGCTATTGTTAATTTATTTCTCATTGAATTCGAAATTGGCAGCAAGGCATCAGACTGTCATTTTAAATCTGCAATAATTTCTCGTGAAGCTTAGACCTCTTATTCCCTAGTCCTGGATTATTGGAGCTAAATGGCGGTCCCTGGCTTCACCAAAGGCTCAGGGGCAGGTACTGTTACACAAATTGCCAATTCAATTAACGGAGTGTAGATGCTCAACTGGCAGCTGGCATGCAGGATGGCTATTTTGGCAAGTGTCAGGCCTAATTCATCAAACTGTCAATGCTTTCGCGGTCGGAAGCCATGGACAACGTCAAAGCCGTGAACGGCACAATGGGAAGTCGCATAATCCGTCGAAACTCATCATGTGTAAAGGAATGCTAACCAGTCACACTGAATCTGCAGCGATCAGGAAAGGCCTTCAGGATCTAACCGGGACTGTGAATGTGTTTTCTGGGAACTAGGGAATATCAGTCAAGATAGTCACAAAAAAACAGTTCTTAGTTCTTAGAATCACAGGATTCAGAAAGTAAATCTGTCCCTCGACACAACTCTTTTTGTACAGGCAATGTCTAATGTTTAACTAACTCAATTCACATGCAAAGAGGTTAGCCAATCATAATAGCTATAAAAAGTCATTTGCATACATAATTCTTACATTCACAGTAGAAAAACCAACATGTTTACTTCCCAGGTGAGAAAGAGGGTGGAAAATATTCACATAAAACTAAATTAAGACTTTTAAAAATGAAAAGAATAATGATCAAAAATAGTAGGATATGGCCCCTTTAAAGTAAAATCAACTCATAGCCATTTTAACTTGCATAAATTGATGTATTTCTAGTTGATTAAAGGTATTTCATTAAAATGCATTACATTAAGGGTGTTTTCAAACTTGTAGTTAGTTCATTTTGTTCCAAAAATAAAAATAAAAATAAAAAATATTGGAAAAAAAATATTAAGGTATTATGTTGCAAGATATTATATGATGGGTGTTTTCAGACTCATAGGGAGTTAAAAAAACTTTAAATATAATTTAAAGTGGACTTTAAAATTAAAAATAAAATAAATAAATTGTCAAAAATTGTGCAAAATTACCCATTTAAGCAAACTGTCCATTTTTACTTACATACTTGCATTTCCAGTTGAAAAAAAAGATATTAAGGTATTACATTGCATGCTATTATTTTAAGGGTGTGTTCAGACTTATGTTTAGTTGAAGAAACGTTTACTACAATTAAAAGTGTACTTTAAAATTGAAAAAAGAAAAAAAAATACAATATAATATAATAAAAGGATCAAAAGTTGTAGAATATGAATAATTAAAGTGAAAATAATTCACAGCCCTTTTTATTTGTCCATTTTTACATGTCCAGTTGATTAAAGGTATTAAATTATAAGATATTGTATCAAGGGGGTTTTCAGACTTACAGTTAGTTTGTTTTGTTTCAAAAAGGGACTAAATTATTTTAATGTTGAATCAGAGGTGGTCTCAGGTTTGTTTTGGTGTGGATCCAAGTGTGATTTCTGAATTCAAATATGTTTAAAAAACAAACTAAAGATCTGAATCAAATGCTCCAAACAAACAAGGTAAAAAATGCCCTAAATGAGAAAAAAAGGATAGCACTAAATTTTATCTTTCACAAATTAATTGATTCATGAAATGTACCGTTACATATCAGAATGAGTATGGTAGGAGGAGAGAAAATGAATAAGAGGGTTTCATAACGTCAAGTGAAAAGTTATTACACGCTAAAGAAAGATGAAAACAAACATTTCCTTTCAAATAAATCATTCACAATAAGACCAGGATACTACATGGGGTCATTTCTAATAACGCTGATTTAAACGGAACAATGTCAGATTTCTCTAATGTTTCACCTGGTTCATTTGCTTCAACGTCTGCTCTCATTAAACAGGAGTGAGTCTCGTCACGCAGTAATTGATAAAGCTCAAGGTGATCTCCGATCAGGACCGAATGGCCCATCGTGCACACACACCACAACATCTTGTGCACATGTGTAGTCGCATGTAAAAGTGCTGTGAGTTAATGAAAAGATGAGACCGAACACAGCATGTCATTAGCTTATTCAGAAAATTACAGACTCTTCTTGTTTCATTGTTCAGTTGTCTTTGAACGCAGCAAAACGTCCCTCAAAGAGGAGGGCGGAAACCCAAGCCTGCATTTCAGAGAGAAACTCTTCATCGCAAAAGA